CACCGGGGCATTCTTCCTTCCAGTGACTGCCAGGGAAATCTTCCTCCCACTGTCCACCAGGACATTCTTCTTCCCACTGACTGCCAGGGCACTCTTATTCCTGCTGACCACCAGGGTGTTCCACCTCCCACTCTCCACCAGGGCATTCTTCCTCCCACTAACTGCTGACATTAAGTCATTCTTCCTCTCCCTGACCACCAGAGTATTCTTCCTCCCAAAGACCACCAGGGCATTCTTTCTCCTGCTGAAAGCCAGGGCATTCTTCCACCCACTGATTGCCAGGGCATTCTTCCTCCTAATGGTACAAGGCTATTCTTCCTCCCACTGACTGCCACTGCATTCTTCCTCGTAATGTCAACAAGGGCATTCTTCCCCCTAATAACTGCTCACATTGGGTCATTCTTCCTCCCAATGACCATCAGAGCACTTTTACTCCCAGTGACAACCAGGGCATTCTTCCTCCTAGTGAAATTGTTAGAGTGCTTCTCTCCCACTGTCCACTATCACCTGGGCATTTTTTCTGCCATTTCAAATACTTTTCCTTCCACTTAAACTAGATTATTTTTTCTGACCGCTGATATCACGTCATTTTTTTTTCACCCACTGACCACAGACATCAGGCATTCTTTTCCCACCACTGACCAGCACTCTAAGGGGCACTATGACACAAACTTTTGACTGCTGCATACATACAGTACATTCATAAAGTATTCAGACCCCCTTTACTTTTTCCAACATTGTTATGTTGCAGCCTGATACTACAGTTGTTTAAAGCAGAGGTCTACCCAAAAGTGGGAAGTTCTACTTTAAGGCCTCCTCCCCCACTCCTGGTTATGAAATGGCACTTGGGGAATGGGGTGGGTACCTTTTTGGACAGGTTTCCGCTCCAACCACCTAGGCGATCATAAGCAGTAGTTCTACTCCCCCCCTCCCTCCCCACAGTCTTATGGGATATGTGAAAAGTCCCAGAAGACTGTGGGACAATATGCAACACAGCTCGTGCATGTGCATTTTGCACCTGTCTGTGAAGCCACAAGCTGTCACAGCTGAGGGCCCACAAGTAACATGCTGACACTGGGGACAGATGACAGGTGATGAAAACATCTGGGGTGAGCACACTGCTGGATCGTGGGATAGGTGAATGGCTGTTTATTAAAAGTCAGCAGCTACAGTTTTTGTTGCTGCTGACTTTCAATTTTTACACAGGAGACTGGAGCTCCTTTCAATTAATTTTTTCCCCATTAATCTGCACTCAGTACCCCATAATGAGAAAGTGAAAACTGAATTTTAGAAATGTTTGAAAATGTATGAAAAAGGAAAAACTGAAATATCACTTGGTACAAGTATTCAGACCCTTTGCAACAAAACATGACACTTAGCTCAGGTGCCTTCCATTTCTCTTGATCATTAATGAGATGTTTCTACACCTTGACTGGAGTCCACTTGTGAAATTAAATTGATTGGACATAATTTGGAAAGGCATACACCTCTCCATAAAAGGCCTCACAGCTGATAGTGTATACTGTATCAGAGCAAAAGCCATGAGATCAAAGGAAATGCATGCAGAGCTTAGAGACAAGATTATTGCAAGGCACAGATTTGAGGAAGGCTACAAACAATTCCTACAGCGCTGAAAGTTCTCAAGAGCACAGTGGTCTCCATAATTCTCAAATGGAAGGGGTTTGGCACAACCAGGATGCTTCCAAGAGCTGGTTGCACAAACTGAGCAATCGGGGAGAAGGGCCTTAGTAAGGTAGGTGACCTGCAATTGGTCACTATGACAAAGTTCCATAAGGACAACCATCACTGAAGCCCTCCACCGATCTGGGCTTTATGGCAGAGTGGCTAGACGGAAGTCTCTCCTCAGTGCAAAACAGATGAAAGCCCGTTTGGAGTTTGCACAAAAGCACCTGAAGGACTCTTCGACTATGAAGAACAAGATTCTCTGGTCTGATGAAACCAAGATTGAACTGTATGGCGTCAATTCTAAATAGTATGCCTGGATGAAACCAGGAACCTCTCATCACCTGCCCAATACCATCCCAACAGTAAAGCATGGTGATGGCAGCATCATGCTGTAGAGGTGGTTTGGGGGTTGAGAGAAAACTCAATGGAGCAAAGTGCAGAGATATCCTCAATGAAAACCTGTTCCACAGCACTCAGGACCTCAGACTGGACCAAAGGTTTGCCTTCCAACATGACAACAATCCTCCGCACACAGCCAAGACAACACAAAAACGACTTAGGGACAACTCTGTGAATGTCCTAGAGTGGCCCAGCCAGAGCCCTGACTTGAACCCTATTGAACATCTCTGAAGAGGTTGTCCACCGACGCCTATCCAAACTGGTTGAGCTTGAGAGGATTTGCAAAGAAGAATGGCAGAAAATCCAGGTGTGCAAAGCTTGTTGCATTATACCCATATAGACTTCAGGCTGTAATTGCTGCCACATGTGCTTCAACAAACTACTGGGTAAAGGGTCAGAATACTTAAGTACATGTGATATTTCAGTTTTTTTTCATTATAATAAATTCAGACATTTCTAAAATTCTGTTTTCACTTTGTCATTATGGGGTACTGAGTGTAGATTATTGAGAAGGGGTACAGAGTGTAGATTAATAAGAAAAGAATGAATTTAAACTACTGTAGTATCAGGCTGCAACATAACAAAATTTAAAAAACTGAAGGGGGTCTATATACTTTATGAATATACAGTCATGGCCAAAAATATCGGTACCCCTGCAGATCAGATAATGCACCACTTCGCCCAGAAAATTGTTGCAATTACAGATGCTTAGACATTCTCATGTCTATTTCTTCCGTTTGTATTGGTATGACACAAAAAAGTGGAGAAACAAAAATGCAAATCTAACACATTCCACGCAAAACCAAAAATGGACTGGGCAAAATGATTGGCACCTTCTTAAAATTGTAAGAAATAATTGCATTCCATGTTTGTGATGCTCCTGTAATTTGTAATTAAACTCACCTGTATCAATTAACAGGTGCTGAAATAATAGAAATAACACCGGCAACCACTTAAAATGGTGAAAAATTGACTAAACCTTTCTGTTGTGTGTCTCTGTGCACCTCATGAAGCATGGAGAAAAGTAAGAGCAGCAAAGAATTTTTTGAGCATTTGAGGACAAAAATTGTGGAAAAGCATGGACAATCTCAAGGTTACAAGTCCATCTCCAGAGATCTTAATGTTCCTGTGTCCACTATGCTCAACATTGTCAAGATGTTTACAACCCATGGCAGTGTAGCAAATCTCCCTGGACATGGATGAAAGAGAAAAACTTGATCAAAGATTGCAATGAAGGATTGGTCGAGTGGTGGGTAAGGAACCTCGATCAACTTGCAGAATAGTTCAAGTTGACCTTCAGGCACAGGGTACAACTGTGTCAGCTCACACTACAAGTTGCCATCTGAATGAATAGGGATGCTGTGTTAGGAGACCCAGGAGGACCTCACTGCTGACACAGAAATATAAAAAAGCCAGATTGGAGTTTGCCAAATCTAACCTGAGGAAGCCAAAATCCTTTTGGGAGAATGTGTTGTAGACAGATGAAACAAAATTACAGTTTTCTGGTAAAGCAAATCATTCTACTGTTTTCGGAAAAAGAAATGAGGCCTTAAAGAAAAGAATACAGTCCCTACAATCAAACATGTTGCAGGTTCACTGATGTTTTGGGGTTGCTTTGCTGCTTCAGGCATTGGATGTCTTGACCGTGTGCATGGCATTATGAAATCTGCAGACTACCAAAGAATTCTGGGGTGCAATGTAGGGCCCAGTGTCAGAAAGTTGGGTCTCTGTCTGAGGTCATGGGTCTTACAACAGGACAATGACCCAAAACACACTTCAAAAACCACCTAGAAATGGTTTCAGACAAAATGATGGAGAGTACTAAAATGGCCAGCAATGAGTCCAGATCTTAATCCCATAGAGCACCTGTGGAGAGATATCAAAACAGCAGTTGGGAAAATGAACCCTTCCAATCTGAAAGACCTGGAGCAGTTGGCAAAAGAAGAGTGGTCCAAAATTCCAGTAGAGAGGTGTAAGAAACTCATTGATAGTTATTTTTTCTAAGGGGTGTGCTACCAAATAGTAAATTGAAGGTGCCAAGAATTTTGTCCAGTCCATTTTTGGAGTTTTGGGTGGAATCTGTCAGATTTGGCTTTTTGTTTCTCCACTTTTTTGTGTCATACCAATATAAACAAAAGAGATAAACATGAGAACACCTAAATATTTGTAACTGCAACAATTTTCTGGGTGAAGTGGTGCATTATCTGACAGAAATGCAAGGGTGCCAATATTTCTGGCCATAATTGTATATAGATTGTGTTACATAGCCCTTTACAGAGTGCTAACCATACATCTGACCATTGTGCTTACTGTGTCAATGGTTGTTGCTTGTTATGTAGCTTCCATCTGGTAGGCTCAGAAAAATGTTGGCTGTCTGTCTATATTTTGTTTTATTTTTTTTTAATGGTCCATTAGGTTTATGTGCATCTGTGACATGCTTACTCATAACACAGTAATTATGGAATATTATGTGCATGTAAAAAACTGTAGCAAATGTGTGCACTGTATACTGTGATAAGGCTCACATTCTATTCAACCATGTCTTTTAAAGCAATGCTCAATTGTTTGCTTAATTTAGCCACACCTAATTGTTGCAGTGGCAGCATGTTAGGCCTCCCCCTTCCCAGAGTGTCCATCTTTCTCAAATTCAAATGTTGTAAAGCATGCTGTAGGTATACTCTGTTAAACGGACACTTCAGCCTACTGCAAAAAACTCAGAATAGAACATAACGAAAAAATAAAAACATAAGCGGGCACTTGCAATAAACACTTTTGGAGGTTCCATTGAGAAACTCAGATGCTTGGGGCCACTTAGCAAACATTGGAATTATTGTATGGGTAAAACATACTGAACTGTGGATAGACTGGAAGGAAGTATGTACAGTATATTTGTGTTATGAGATAATATAACTCACCTATGACGATGGTAGTATCTTTTCAAGAAGGGATGAGGAGCTGCGCCCACAGCAAAATTACTGCTTCCAGTGTCAACTAGAATATTAAGCTAAAAGGGAGAAAAAAAAGCAAATAAAAACAACCTTCTAGTTTGAGGAAATACTCAATGATCTATATAAATCTCCAAGGTGGCAGTAGGCAGCAAAGTATATAAATGTACAAAAATGATTGTATAATAATATTACTAAATTACTTCTATTTTTTTTTATATATGTAACAACATTTTCACGTACACAATGTGGTTAAGATTTTTCCAGATTTAATTATTTTAAATGGCACTTAAAGTGGTTGTAAACCTTAGACATGAAATATGAAAAAAGCATATCCCTATATAGTGTGTACTTGTCTCAATCCAGTTTTCCTGACACCAAGAGAAAAATGGTGACAGGGTAGGGACCTCCAGCAGATTGACAGCCTCAGCTCTGTTCCTATAAGCTGTGTGAAGGGGAGAGTCTCTTTCCTCCAATCAGCCCTCAGAGCTCTCCTCACTGAGCGCTATAGAGTGTAATTTCAGCTCTCCACTAATTTTTTTTTCTGATGGCTCAGACAAGCTGTATAAATTCTGCTTTTTGAATAGATGTAGAGAAGAGAAGACTGCAGATACACAGGTACAATCAAACAATCAACTCACAAGCAGCCTCACTGAGTGTAAAAAAACATGGGTTTTGGACAAAATGTATATAGTTTAGCTTTTAGGCAATCCTCTTCCCATGAAAATGTTTGCTTTCTCAGTCTTTGAAGGAGAACTATAACCAGCTAATCAGGCAATCTTGAAAATCCTCTACTTTTGAACAAGCTTAGCCTAAATCTCATTCCTGTCCATCTTAACATATGCAGCTAATAGGGAAACAAATGAAATATCTCACTGGACTTAAATCACATACTTCATACATTATACTCTACATATGTTAATCAGCGTACCATGTGCACTCAGGCATACAAAATCATGATTACGTATGCCTGAGTGTTAGTGGACAGCAATATACTGTATGTCCTGTTTGGCCAACTTGGGACATTTTATTTTCAATAGGTTTTTATTGTCTTTTTTAAAAAATATTTCAAGTACAGGATACAAATTAAACCGCTTTCAAAGACATAACAAGGTTTTGACTAAAAACAGTAGCCAATAGCAGTTTTACATGTATGAAATATGGTTAGGGTAGGTAACAATTAGGAAAACATGTCTTATAACAGAGGTAGAACAAACATTACATGTCGGATAGGTAATTGGTGCATAAAAAAGTTGTTCGGTGGTAGATCAACAACCAACATAATTAACAAGAACTATAGAGATGAAGATATGCTAAAATGCTGGCAAAATAGGAGATATGATGACATCAAATAGTTCAGAAGGCAGCCCTGCGGAGGAGCCGAAAAACAGAGATGAAAATAAAGGGGAGGAAGGGAAGAGGAAAGGTGAGTAAGGAATGGACGTTCAAAACACTTGTGTTCAGTTAGTGAGGTATAATTGGGTTATAGTGAAATAAAGCTATTTGCTGAGATTTTCGGGTGGCATATTGAATCCACGGAGTCCAAATCTTAAGGAATCTCTTATGGGTATCTGACAGTATACTAGCCAGTTTTTCATTTATTAGAAAGAAGTCAAGGCGGCAAAGGACTTCTGTGAAGGACACAAATTGCTGCTTCCAGGTTTTCGCTATGGTTTGTTTAGACGCCAATAGTATGTGGGTGGCTAGTTGAAATTTGTGTTTAGACAGACCCAGAGGTTTTAGGGTTAAGATAGTGTACCACAGGTCTCTCTGGAAGGAGTAGGTAAGTAATGATTTAAGTAATTTGATGAGTTTTGACCAAAATCGGGAGATCATAAAGCATGCCCACCAGATTTGTAGGACATCGCCCGGTGTGTTACAGCCACAAAAACAGGTGTTGGGGGCTGATGAATGGATTAAAGCTTGGTGGGATAGGACAAGATACCATCTTGTCACTGTTTTAAAGGCCGATTTCATGGTGAGGGCATTGATAGAGCATGAGGTCATGGTTGACCTTATCTATGACAAACATGCATGATCTTTAGAGCCTTTGAGGTACCTTTCCCATCTAGACAACTTGGGACACTTTCATGGTGCCCGTCATAAAAATTCATGCAAGGCCCCTTTCCAATGACCGGTTTGGTTGGGTCCGCTTGATCATTTTTCAGGTGGACCTTATCTGACCATCCATTCTCCAATCTAATCCCATAAAAACAAATGTAAAGAAATCTGTTCCCCTCCTTCTGCCCGGATCAGAGGGAAGTTGGGTGTAAATGGACAGCTGGTATGTTTACATCCGACTGCTCATAGAGCAGAGTGGGCTTTGTCCATGTCCACTCTGCTTAAAGTGAGCCTACCTGTCATTCATCCACTCTACTCTGCTCACCAGGTGATCAGCAGTTAGATCCCCTGCTGAGAAAAACAGATCTGGCCCATGTGAAAGGGGCCTAATGGAGATGTACAAAGGCAGACATGCTTCATGCAAGTGTAGGCTGTATGACAACTAATGGTGCACTGAAATGAAAATTCTGGTGCCGAAAACGAAAATTCAAAATGCACTTGGCCAAAAACCAAAACCAAAATGCACAGTTTTTAAAAATGAATATATTTTTTTTTGGAAAAAAATACACTGATTAAAAAAAACAAAATAAATCCAATATATACCCCAATTTTTTTGTAAAATATGAAAGAGGATGTTACGGCGAGTAAATAGATACCCAACATGTCATGCTTTAAAATTCCGCACGCTCGTGGAATGGTGTGAAACTGCGATACTTAAAAATCTCCATGGGTGATGCTTTGAAAATTTCTACAGGTTAGCAGTGTAAAGTTAAAGAGGAGCTCTAGTGCTAGAATTATTGCTCTTGCTCTGACGTTCGTGGCGATACCTCACGTGTGTGATTTGAACACCGTTTTACATATGTGGGCATGGCCTACATATGTATTCACCACTACGTGCGAGCATGGGGGGACGGGGGCACTTTAAACTACTTGGTTTTTTTGCACTGTCCCTTTAAAAAAAATGTAATCACTTTTATTCTTATCAAAAGAAATGCATGCATCCCTTGTGATAGAAATAATTAGTGACAGGTCCTCTTTATGGAGAGGTCAATAAGACCCCACATCTCTCCTCTACAATGTAAAGCATTGGATCAAAATAAAGCATTGATCTAGTGCTTTAAAAAAAAAAATGGCAGGAATGGGAAGTGACATCGCTCCAGTCCTCCAAGGACATAGAGATGAGTGACGGCCATCTTTCCTTCACTCATCTCTGTGCCCACCACTGGGATTGATGGTTTCTCAGGCAAGGCTGAGAACTACCAAGCGGCGGCAGCGACGGGCAGGCGGGGTTTTTTTGGCACCTGTATCAGTGCTTTTTTTCATTTCAGCCAAAGGCCGAAAGGGGTGTTTTCGGCTGAAACAATTTGGCCACCGAAATTATATTACTCTGGTCACAGTGTGTTAGAAAAAAATCATTAAAAAGAAAAAAAAAAAAAACATTGAAAAAAATTATAATTTTTTTTCGTACTGTCACCAGTCAGTGTCTGTGATCACCACCACACCAGTTATGACGATGCTGTACTGCACCGGTGACAACATGTAGAAAAAAATAGTGAAAAAATATATGGTATTTTTCACTCCATAAGACTGTCAGAATACCGGGCAGGCCGTTCAGCTCTTTTCTGCAGGAGGACCTCAGGAGGACCTCACCTGTTCCTCGGGTCCAGCGCTGTACAGTCTTCCCGCGCCGGCATCTCTCAGCCGGGTGCCCACTGCGCATGTGCGAGAAGCGCTGCGCTTTGTGAATGGTCTGGCGTCTTCTGGGACACATGACAGGTCCCAGAAGACGCTGGGCCATTCACAAAGCGCAGCGCTTCTCGCGCATGCGTAGTGGGCACCCTGCACAGCTAAAGGGAGAACAACTCCGCAGAAGTGGGAGCGGGTACCTGTCAAATTCAGGTACCCGGTCCCCTCCCTCCCCAAAGGTCCGCAGTCTCTGGTCATGTCCCTCTGGTCATCCCCTGTAGTGTCTGTCTGCAGTCTCTGGTCATCTGTACTGTGTCCGCAGTCTCTGGTCATCTCCTGTACTGTGTTCGCAGTCTCTGGTCATCTCCTGTACTGTGTTCACAGTCTCTGGTCATCTCCTGTACTATGTCCGCAGCCTCTGTGCATCCCCTGTACTGTGTTTGCAGTCTCTGGTCATCTCCTGTACTATGTCCGCAGTCTCTGGTCATCTCCTGTACTGTGTTCGCAGTCTCTGGTCATCTCCTGTACTATGTCTGCAGTCTCTGGTCATCTCCTGTACTGTGTCCGCAGTCTCTGGTCATCTCCTGTACTGTGTTTGCAGTCTCTGGTCATCTCCTGTACTGTGTTCACAGTCTCTGGTCATCTCCTGTACTATGTGCCGCAGCCTCTGGGCATCCCCTGTACTGTGTTCGCAGTCTCTGGTCATCTCCTGTACTGTGTCTGCAGTCTCTTGTCATCTCCTGTACTGTGTTCGCAGTCTCTGGTCATCTCCTGTACTGTGTTCGCAGTCTCTGGTCATCTCCTGTACTTTTGTTCACAGTCTTTGGTCATCCTCTGTACTGTGTCTGCAGTCTCTGGTTATCCCCTGTACTGTGCCCGCAGTCTCTGGTCATCCCCTGTACTTTGTTCACAGTCTCTGGTCATCTCCTATACTATGTCCGCAGCCTCTGGGCATCCCCTGTACTGTGTCCGCAGTCTCTGGTCATCTCCTGTACGGTCCGCAGTCTCTGGTCATCTCCTGTACTGTGTCCGCAGTCTCTGGTCATCTCCTGTACCGTGTACGCAGTCTCTGGTCATCTCCTGTACTGTGTCCGCAGTCTCTCTCCTGTCATCTCCTCCTGTACTATGTCCGCAGTCCCTGGTCATCTCCTATACTATGTCTGCAGTCCATTGGTTAAGAATATTTTTTTCCTGTTTTTCTCCTCTAAAACCTAGTGCGTTTTATGGTCAGGTGCATCTTATGGAGCGAAAAATACGGTAAGTAAAATGCTTGCTTGAAGCAATGAAATTCATTGCTATAAGCAATCATAAT